AGCTGGCAACTGATCTCTGTAGTTGGGAGATCCATTATGATTCCAAGAGATTTCCAGGTTGGCAATCCTAGACATAAAGGAAGCAGGAAAAGGTGAGAAACTAAGTAAAAGAGGAAATAGTGTCTATATAGTGTCTACATACCTACCTACTTTCCAAGTGTGCAGATTGGGGGCACACAGAAAAAAAAACACCTGTGGTCATGGCACTCCCCAGGCTTACGGAAAAATCTGAAGGAAAAAAATACACAATGGGGGGGATTTAGATCCCCTTAAAGGGGCAGACAATGCTCTTACTAGGTCAGAATGGAGCCCAGCATCAGAGGAGGAGGAGGCTGGCAGCTGCATGGGACCTGGCAGCTGAGGAGGAGGAAGAAGAGGAGGCTGGCAGCCGAGCTGAGGAGGAGGAGGTTGAGAGCCATGCAGGGCTATGGTGGCGGAGGAGGCCAGTAGCTTCATGAGACCCCACAGCAGAGGAGACCGAGAGCTATGCAGGACCATGGAGATGGAGGAGGCCAGTAGTCATGCCAGATCCATTTCAAGTTCCTATCCCAGGAGAGGACAAACTGTGGAGAAGATGGCACTAATAATGATGACCGGCATCACTCCCTGTCCCCACCCTTGTTAGCAACAAGATCTATTTGGAGATATTACTCCTCTGAAGTCTGTGGATCGACCTGTTCTGTTCCCAATACTCTGGATATCTGGTTCTCATTTACACCCCTCTCTTAGTTTGCAGGTTCATCTTGAAGGTCATTATGGGGGGACGACACAGTAACCAAGGCAACCACAGCTATCTTACCTTAGAAACAAGTCAATTGTTCTCACTGAGGTGACACACACAGGTGTGAAACACCTCAGGTTACTGGTGAAGAAAGTGGACTGGCTCTTTTGCAAGAACTAAAACTTTATTTATCACCTGGTGCCACAAAGAATACGACAAAAAGAAGGCTTTCACTAAATATGTCTCCTCAGAAAGCAAGTAAAGTCCGAATGAGAAACACTTCTATCAAAACACGATGTGAGACTACTATAAAGGAATAGTTTGAATATGGACTTAAAATGAACAGAAAGACTCACCAAGATAAATATTATTATTATATATGCTTTCTTTGGAAAAACCAAACCAAATTATTTATATATTGTATATCTAAGGGAAGGGAGGGAAAGGAGAGGTATAGGGTAAAAGGTAGAGATCCTAATGGTAAGGTTAAAAGGGATTATTGAAAGTTAGACCATGGGGTGGGTGGGTTCTTTTTTGTAGGAAGTAGGATAGTTAGTAAGTTATATATTAGTTAAGTTTTATTTTATTTAAAGAACTTTAGAATATAGTATTTATACAGAGGTTTGATTATATAATCAAAGTATAAAAGTAGATTATGCTTTATAGTAAAACTATATATGGAGGCATGTTTTGGTCCTGATACATTGAAGTAGCCTTAAGGGGTGCACTGGAGCAGCCTTTGGGGTGCTGATTAGAACTAAGGAGACCTTGCCCAATGTTGAAGTAATAGAAAAGCATTATCTTAAAAGGAGATGGAATAAGACTCTCAGTAGTTGTTCTTTGTTCCTGAGGAAGGACCAGAAATCTGAAACACTGGAAAAATTACCTAGGAAAAATATTGGACTTTTTGGATATTTACCTTGTATTCTGCATTTTCCTATGATGCACTTCTTTGGGTTCTGCATTTTCCTATGATGGATTATATGAATCGATTTATTCCGGACAATAGATGCATTTCACTTTGATGAAGTATCCTTTGTGAATATTTTGTGGGAAATTCAGCTCGCTGTTGTTTTTTGTTATTCTTTGCTATTTTTTACTGTGTGCTGTACTGTTGTTGTTGTATGGCTAAAATTGGTGCCAAAACTTCTCAGGGACTCCTGGGAGTTGTAGGCCTGGCCTCCTCCCACTGCTACTCATGCTCCCTGGGCCAGCTAGGCCTCTTCTTGCACAGCCCAGATCATGACACCCTGGTTCTGACAAGTGATAAGGACTAGCTGTACTTGTTGCTTCAGCAATTCTCTACAATGTGCTATGTTCGGCCAGTCATCCATTTAGGGGGAAACTGAGCACCCTTTTGTCCTCAAATGTGCCACCACAATAGTCATATGATTGGTGAAGATTCTAGGGGCTGTTGCCACACTGAATGGAAGAGCCGAAGAGGGGGCTGATTGCTTCACGACCTAGATGCGCTTTGCCCTTGACAGAAGGGGACAGACTGATACGGATGAGGTGGAGGATACTGTTAAAGCGCCTGGGGTTGGTGATATCATTGGCCACGACAGAATGAGGTGGCAAGTCCTTGTTGGCATGCTGCAAAATGTTTGTGGGAATGGATGGCGGTAGGGAACATCTGGTGAACAAGTTGCTTTGTCTGTTTTTATTTACAGTATAGCAGAATTCATCTGTAGCATTCAAAAATAGCATGGAGCATGAAAGGGAGATCCCTAACTGCACCAAGTCTCTAAAGGGGAAGCTGCGGTGCCCAGCCAGGAGTGCCTTTGCAGAAGCACTGCTGATGTAATGATCTCATGGATGTGTCCACATGTCTCCCCGCATTAATCTCCTGCTTTGACAACTTTATGGCTTCTGAATGAATGAACCTGGTTTGTGATACAGAAGTTTAAGGCTCCAGAGGAATAAATCTTTCATCCAAAAGCACTGAGGCATCTGCTTTCTCGATCCAATGACACTGAATGTTAGCCATGCCTTTGCCTTGCTTGCATCTCTTCTGTGACTGTGAGTAGGGCAGCGGGTGGAGAGAAATTCACAGGAGTCTTACTTTATTTTGTATAAGTTTTATATTTTCCGAGAGGTTGCAGGGATGGGAGCAGGTTTCTGCCATATTGATGTTGAGTAATGCGACAATGCCATGTAACTCCCAGTAAAGGGGGCTGAGGATCCTCTTTTTAAGTTTGTTTGTGGTTGACACACCTATTTCTAAGGACTTTGCCATACAAAGCATCCATCCTCTATAAAGACAGAGATCCTCGTTAGGGATATAGGAGTAGGACCCCCAGCTCTATCATCAGGTGAGGGTTTGGATTGCCCCTTGGAGCTATAGTATGAGGCAACTGACTACTTTTCCCAGTTCTGATTCCAGCACCAACAGTGCTGTGGAAAAGGGGAGTGGAGAGTCTGGCGCCTCAAATCTGAAGATGGCTGTAGGGGCCTTGGGGGAGAAGGGGTGAATTGGGACCTTTGCCCATAAAACCTAATATTCTTGGAGGTAAGAAGGGGATGTACTGAAAGGGTGCCAAGGTGGGGGTGGGTAGTTCTGTGGTCATGGCAGTGCTGATTTTACAGGTTCATTGACAGGTGCCTGATGTTCTTGTGAAGGCTGGGAAGTCTGGTCCATTTCAGTTTCCAAGAAATCTGCTTGGTGACACTGAGTGCAGGGATGGTGTACATGGAGGAATCAGGATGACCTCTGGTTGATCTGAAGTCGGCAGAGCCAGGGGAGATGAGTGCCTTTGTCTTTTGGAAGAGGCCCTGGACTTCATGTTTTGTTTTTGCTTCAATTTTTCACAGGTAGTTTTAACCCGTACCAAAAAACCCTACACAATACTATCCCTTTGGGGATACCCTAGTCCCAATCCCTAAGGCAAAAGCAAGATCTTTGGAAAGTCATCAATTTGAATTTTAAAACTTGGTATCCTTCAACTGCCTTACAGAGTTGAAAAGGCCTGTGTGCAGTGTCCCCAGCAACTGATGTATATCAGCACCTTCCCTGCTGGACCAAATACAAATGTTCCTTGGAATCTCACCAGCCCTGACAAATACACCAGCATCTTCAAGAGTAGGGCTGTTTTTCTAGAGACAACTGGTTAATATAAATGCCCTAAGTGTTACACAGGATTTATTATAACCCACACAGTCAAAAGGATTGTTGCAAGATTCACAATTTTAAACATCTTACCTACTGGCATCTGTGAATGGTTAATTTACACAAAAGATGAAGCAGACGAACATGTTATGTTATTTTTATTAACAGTCATGGCTAATGTCAGAGTAAAGAAAACCGAATGTGTTAATATTTATACAAAAATTAGCCCTTTGAGTATCCAAATATAAAAAAGTACAAGTGTTAACATACTCCTAAAATTATAACTGTGATATTTCTATAAAAGAAAAGTGCTTGAAAAAGCTTTGTAGATGCATGACAATCCTAAAAAGATCAAATAACTTTTTGATGCCAAGTATCTCTCAAGTCTGGAGGATGCTCCAGAAAGGCTTTCATATGCTCCTTCAAAGCTAAATATTAGAAAGGGGATTACAGCAGGAAAAGAGATACAGACAGGTTAAAGAACTAAGCCAGGCACATAGTTGGTAAGTCTCATGGAACATAAGTTTCACTTGGCTGAAGAATGTTCAGAAAATGAAACGTTGGAAAAAATCCTAAAAATGTAATTTCTAAGAGTTTAGTAACTAATTAAAAGTAATAGTTTTGATAGTTATATGCTATCAAAACACACCAAGATGCTTGAAAAATACAATTCCACAGGTAGACCAGACTACATAATAAAGTTCTACTCACAGCAACCAAAACACACATGCAGGTGAACAGAATCAGTTCCAAGCACTTCACAGACGTAGCAGTTACCCTGACAGTTTAAAGAAATCAAAATACCTTGTGTACAGGGTTATACCAGCTATTTGGCACACATTAAATGTTCACATTTTTATATTGCTGGTAAAATATTATTTCAGTGCTATATTGTTTATTATAGCAACCACCTTATATAAACACAAAGAGGGTTGGATCCAAGCCTAGCTCTGTTCACTATAAATAGAGCAAGTTTGTAAAAAATCTTTGCACCACCTTTTTTCCTTTGCAGTCTGGCATCTGCATCCCCCCAAAAGCCACTCCTGAGGGTCAGAGAACTGCCAGGAATAACATGAGATAGTGGCATGGGAGGGCGCATCCACGAGAGGAAATAAGCAGTAATCTCCCCTTACATGACCTTTTCCTTTGCTCATGCAACTTGCTCAGTTCATTGGGGGGGGGGGGGTTTCTGCCAACTTCTCCTCTTGTTGCAGGAATTAACCCCACAATTGCTTCTGTAACCGATGCAATATCACCCCCCCCCACAAAGCATACAAAAGATTTTAGTTTTGGGGGAGGGAACAAGGCTGCAGACAAAAGATACTAAAACTTCCTGGCCCATTTACGATCAAATTTCTTTGCTGACAAATTTAAACAGCCAAGTTTTAGTGTTTCTACTTAACAATTGTAAAAAACCATACTTGACCTATCTACAAGATTTTTGCATATTTTTAAAGAATTCGTTTTTCTTCAAAAACAAGGTAAAGATACATTTTGTTTCCTTTTTCGCTAATCAGGGTCAGTTATGTCAGGTCTAGATCAGCAATGATTTAGAGACTAAGATGACAATTATAGGACTACATGAAAGATTAAGCTATAATGAAAAAGTATACATGTAGTGATAGAAGGTGTTCCAATTAGATAACATCAATTTCCAGCCTTTTGGCACAGATCTGTCCATTGTTGTAGCAGTTAGAAATTCTGCAGTAGCAATGGTTAATCGTTTGTCAAGTTAACAGGGGGGAAAACAGGTGATTCAGAAAAGGAAGACATGGTAAGCAGTTTTCCTCCTTTGCAGCTCTACTGCATACCACAAAAGTTTTGAATTTAATGCTACAGCAATTTTAAAAACTAGCCCCAAAGTGTTGTTCCCACTGCAGAATAGCAAGGAAAACAGTCTGGCTTAAGAGGTAAGCAATTATTGTGATCTTGGGATGTTTACCCTTCTCTTAAGAAGAGGAAAAAGGATTAAGAAGTTTTTCATAGTATATAACAAATATATTTCTGTAGTTTTCAAAGGAAGCAAAAAAGTTCTAATAGAAAATTTATCTGCTATCCCCCAAGAATGGAAATTACTGCTGCTTGCTGAAACCAACAAGTTTTTCGTTTACTCTGTATGAATGCTATTTTGGTTTGTTGATGCCAATAAAGCTAGAGCATTGATTTTTCTAATTTTTCTGAATCATCTTTTAAAGTCAAAATACACTATACGAACATACAACATGCCAGATCATCAGAAATAAATACATAGCACTGACCAAGAGAACTTATGCAAAGTATGTGTCATATATGTTTCTTAAGTTAGAAGGCTAGAGGGCACAAGATTTAATTTTGCTCTGTGATCTATGCACTTCTCATTTTGTGAATATTGAAGTTCAAACTGCCTTTACAAAATATTTTCACAGAAAAACGAAGTGCTCACATCTACACAATTTGGGTCTGAATGGTTAAGGAGATCAACTTAGATCAGGATTCATTTTCTTGATTATGCGGATATTTGGTCTCCACAAACCTGAATGGGGTTTTGGTTCCACTTGGGTTTTTTTAAAGCAGTTGTTCGAAGACTACAGAAAATATGTCCCTGAAGATGTGACAGAATGTCTTTATACTTAATACTTTTTCTTTTCTTTAACCTTATAAAAGAACACACTTGGTAGTTACTTGACAAAATAAAAGCCTTAGATAGGCAGAGCAGCTCAGAGTGTTCACAGGCACACAGTGCTAAACGTTACTAGATATAAAAAATGGCACCGAACAATTACCAGTTTTATCACTTGTCCTATTAGACAGCCTCTGTGCGAAGGTCTCCATCCTAAAGACCAAAGACTCCCTTCGTACTTTTTCCCAACAAAATTTCTCTGCACTGATGACTGGTGAACAAACAATAGCTTTGGCTACCTGGGAAATTGTGATTTAAAAGAGGGTTTGACTAGTGTATTTATTAAGCCCTGTCTAAGCCCTGGAAGGCTGTGCAGGAAGTCCAAACCGCATGAATATTTTGGTCTTTGGGTCAAAGTCAGTTGATTTCTCAGTGCAAAACAAACAAACAAAGCCCCAACAAAATAAAAAACAAAACCCCAACCATTAACAGTGTTAATAATCCATGCTATTAGATTAATATTAGGTTACTTTAGAAAAAAATCTGAATATTGGTATACTTCATTGTAATAAAATCAGCTTAGTAAAATAGTAAGTAAATTTTGCCACATTACATTACAGAATTAAAATGACCAAATCTAAATTGTTTATAAAGTAGGTATTAAGAAATGACCACTACATATTTGCACATTAAGTGCAAACAGGAGCTTCTACATCACTGCAGAGTAACAGGCATCTCTCTCCACAGAATACATCCCGGCATCTCAAGAGCCTCTGGTTAATGAAGATACCTGCCAAAATAAACAAAACGTTAGGAACTTAACCACTC